TTTGGACAACAAACATCAAGACAGAAATTAAGATAATGTGTTATGTTGGCAATTGTGTTATCAAGAGCTTGTTCAGTAAATAGATCCCAGTTTGTGTCTTTTAACATGGACCTTAGGTTCAGTATGTTGTCATGGGAATAACATCTGTGTTGTGTTTTCTTTCCAAGGTATGAGAAGACCCTTTTGTGCTGCTTTCCATATACTTTGGGCAATATTCTTATGATACAGTGATCTGAATTTAGTAGTGGGGCTCTTTTTCGAGCTTCAAATATTCCTGCATCGTTTGTAAACACAAGATCAAGAGTGTTGTCCATTCTAGTCGGGAAGTTGACAATATTATCGTGTCCAAGTGAAATTAGGAAGCTGTGGTCACTAGAATTAAAATCACCAGTAACTATAGACAAGGAATTTCCGAAGGAGGTGGCAGCAAGGGAAGTAAATTCATCCGCAAATAAAGATAATTCTGTGGAGTTGCATCCAGGAGCAATATACATGTTCGAGATGTAAATGTAGTTGTATTTTGACAAATGTTTAGGTCGACACTTAACGGTGAGACAGTCAATATTGTCACTAGAGAATTTGAAACATACATTATTAGACGTACACCATTGTGAATTGATGAAGATGGCGACACCGCCACCGCGTTTCTTCCTGGAACTACACCGATCTTGTCTGAATAGTTTGAAATTATTTAGATACACTAGATTGTCATCATATAGATCATGAAGCCATGTTTCTTGAAGTGATATGATCCCAGTATTATGATATATAATGGAAGACACCAGCGATTGAAGACAGTTAATTTTAGCCGGCAGGGAGCGACAATTGGTACTCATAATTGCGGGAACAGTCATGAATTGAATAGGGGTATTTTTTAATGCTCTCTGCCAGCCGGCATGATGCTTTTTCTTGTCTTTTTATGGAGTTGCAGATCAGTAGGTTTTAAAGATATTAGATATTCACGAGAATAAATAATCCGATTTGAGGTCATATTTGAATAAGATTTATTGATTAAAATATCAATTAGAAATGAGAAATTAGATGCAATATGGTTTGTATTGTTTAACGTAATTGGTAGCCCAAGATTTAAGCAGGCCGCCAAAATATATGGGAAAAATTTATTTTGACAAAGTCTCACAGTGTCATACAGTAATTTTTACTGATATGTCATATCACTCGATATGATTATGAGCAATAAATTGTGCTCGAAACGTCATCAGTATGTATGACTGTATAATGCTGTGAGACTTTCAAGTATCGGTTTTGTAGGGATTTCGTTTGATTGCATGGAGGATTTCATCATGAGCTGACATCAGTTAGAGAACCACTGGAAAACCTGGGAGTACTGGACAGCTGTTTTGTCCTAGTTTGGGACTCTTCAGCAGTACTCCCAGGTTTTCCACTGGTTGTCTAACTGATGTCAGCTCATGATGAAATCCTCCATGCTGTGAGACTTTATCAAAATAAATTTTACCCATAATGGAATTATACTCTACCACAGTTCACCAACTTTATACTTTTATTTGTGTCCATCAGGCTAGCTGCTTCTCAACTTCCTTGAGCAGCATTGAGACGAAGTCCATCGGGCGAAATCCATGTCGTTTTCTGTATATCCTTGTGGTTGTATGCACTGCTTCCGACCACCAAATCATCGAAAGCGCAGAAGTCTGCGAAGAGTTCTCCGTTCACATTCATTTTTCCGACGGCCTCCCGACCTATGATGAGTTGTCTTCCTGTGTTATCTGCTCCCAGTTTGGCTTGCATTCATATCACCCATGGGGACTTTGATGTCGTCTTTAAGAATCTTGTCCACAGAAATCTTCTTTCTTCTCTTAATCAGAGTTGTTTGTAGTTGCGTAGCATTAGATAATTGTGACCCTCATTCTTTTTGGGTTGAATCTTGCTTTCGTAATCCTGGATGAAATTGGTTCCCACTGCATTAGGGCGTTGACTACCACTCGTGACATCTTTATAGCCACTCCGTCAGTGGGCTCGTCGTTGTCATGTGAGTTGGTGACCGGCGTAGATTAATGACTCACCAGCTGACAATTTTGATAGTTCAAATCCATCCTACCTTCTCTCGCAGATACCCATCACTTCTATATCAAATCTCATTTCTTTGGCTACCTGGGTAGCCCTCCCACCTAGCCTCGTACAATGTACGCACATTTCACTTCCGCATTTTTATTCTTGCTTTCATTGAGAGAGGACAAACGGCCAAACGGCAATTTGATCTTCAGTACGGAGCGGAGGCAACTGTTGATAAATGTCTGCAACCTTTTGGAAATGCTTTTCGTGACACGCAGTGCAAACGTATGTATGAATAAAGCATGTGCGCTGTGGTAGAATATAATTTCATTATAATAATAATAATAATAACAGCTTTATTCCAAACGGTATTTGTGGTACAGGTATGGAATTTTCAGCGTGCATTACAGTATATTGCATCTAATTAACTCATAGTTTATATAAGACTTTTAAAAATCAAAGATAAATAAATAAAATAAATAAGTCATAAATAAATAAAATAAATAAATAAAAAATTGGGAAAAAACAGCGTAGAGTATTTCATTTCAAACAATGCACCACAGGATATGAAATATAAACTTGATGTGTGATAGAAGATGAGAACAACAGTGTAATAGTAACGACGAAAAGAAAACAAAAACCAATGCGACTACTTGTTAGAGTGCCGCAGTAAGTTGATCGTGTCATACCTAACGGATTTCCCATCACATAACAGCTGTGCCAGATATGGTATTGTGGAGCTTTCGTACTTGGTAGTCCTAGCATATAGCCTCCTATAGCTGCTTCTAGTTCTACCAGATGAAATGCAAGGAGACAGCTGCGTATAGAGAGGATGCTCGGGATCTGACAATATTGTATTCGCACGTTCTTACGTGACATTATATGTCTATCCACAATAGTGTTAACCAGTTGGTTTAACGATATCCCACTTGACCTACTAACGGATTTTAGTGCCCTTTTCAGTAAAGCAAAGTCTTTCTTAAGTAGTCCAGGAAAGTCTAATGGGGAGCAGTAAAGGGGGATGGGTAGAATACAAGAATTGACAAATTGAGAAAGCAAAGACTTCTTTATACCAGATTGCCTAAATTTCCTAACGTAGAACGTTAAGCGAAACATCTTTCTAGTAACTAGCAAGATGTGGGAGGACCAGGAAACATCGGTGGAAAAACTCAGCCCAAGGTACTTGACATTAGATGTATTTTCAACCTCTGTGCCGTCAATGAGAGTGGGGCCATGTGAGCTACCTAGTTGCTGTAGGTCACGTTTACGTCTGAAAGTGAAATTGACTTTCTGACATGTAGACGGATTAAGACCGTTTGAAGAGGACCACTGACTAATTTCCGACAGAAAGTAATTTAATTTGAAACAATCTGACTGAGAGTTGACAGTCATAGAAACCGAGAGGTCATCGGCATACTTAACAAAAATCGCTACATCAGAATGAGGCAAGTCATGTAAGAAAAAGGAAAACAGAAAGGGAGAAAGAACAGCACCTTGAGGAACACCAGCTAAAGTAAGTGAGGTAGTGGAGGACTTTCCATTGTAGACGGTGTACTGCTTCCTTTCAGAAAAATAGGAATGCAACCACTTAGTTGTCCAGCTTTCAGCCTGTGTTGCAGGAAGCCTACTTAGCAAGAGAGAACTGGGAACAGAGTCAAATGAAGATGTGTAATCAAGGAAGGCACAGCGAACGTATTTAGCTCCTTTATCTAAACTGGAGACTATGCTATGGTGGAGGGCAACAGCGGCATCTAACGTACTCCTACTATGTTTATAAGCAAACTGGTTCGGGTCGTTGGAAGGTTTTAAAGAGGGATCAAGATTAAGTAAAATAAGTCTTTCCATAACTTTCAAGAAGTGTGAGGTAATTGAAATGGGTCTAAACTTAACATTAGGTCCACTTGTTGATTTAGGCACTGGAACGATCTTGATGTTTTTCCATGATTCAGGTATAATACTTTTGGAAAACGATTCGTTGAAAATGTCAGTTAGCGGGGAACACAAGATGTCGGCACACTTCTTAAGGATAACAGCAGGAACACCATCAGGACCGAGGGACTGAGTAGGCTTGAGAGATTGAAGACACTTGAGGACATCATTCGTGTTAAAGCATGAGAAGCAGTCATTGTTTACACTATTTGAGTTAGGAATCATAACATTTGCTGGGATACATATGAAGGATTCATTAAGCATGCCAACATCTACAGAAATATCATTCAACATTTGCTTACCACCTGTGATTTCCTTTAATAACTTCCACATATTTGATGGGGATTTACATGAAAGAAACTTCTGGTTATAGAGAGCATTCAATCTTTGTAATTCAAGCTTAATCAAAGTGTTCATTCTCTTAACACCAGATTTGTTTTTCATTTTGAACAACCTTTCTTTTTCACGGCGGAGCTTTTTGAGTTGAGAAGAGGAGAAGCGATCGAATTTTAAGAAGATTGTCTCTTTTGGACAACAAACATCAAGACAGAAATTAAGATAATGTGTTATGTTGGCAATTGTGTTATCAAGAGCTTGTTCAGTAAATAGATCCCAGTTTGTGTCTTTTAACATGGACCTTAGATTCAGTATGTTGTCATGGGAATAACATCTGTGTTGTGTTTTCTTTCCAAGGTATGAGAAGACCCTTTTGTGCTGCTTTCCATATACTTTGGGCAATATTCTTATGATACAGTGATCTGAATTTAGTAGTGGGGCTCTTTTTCGAGCTTCAAATATTCCTGCATCGTTTGTAAACACAAGATCAAGAGTGTTGTCCATTCTAGTCGGGAAGTTGACAATATTATCGTGTCCAAGTGAAATTAGGAAGCTGTGGTCACTAGAATTAAAATCACCAGTAACTATAGACAAGGAATTTCCGAAGGAGGTGGCAGCAAGGGAAGTAAATTCATCCGCAAATAAAGATAATTCTGTGGAGTTGCATCCAGGAGCAGTATACATGTTCGAGATGTAAATGTAGTTGTATTATGACAAATGTTTAAATCGACACTTAACGGCGAGACAGTCAATATTGTCACTAGAGAATTTGAAACATACATTATTAGACGTACACCATTGTGAATTGATGAAGATGGCGACACCGCCACCGCGTTTCTTCCTGGAACTACACCGATCTTGTCTGAATAGTTTGAAATTATTTAGATACACTAGATTGTCATCATATAGATCATGAAGCCATGTTTCTTGAAGTGATACGATCCCAGTATTATGATATATAATGGAAGACACCAGCGATTGAAGACAGTTAATTTTAGCCGGTTGAGAGCGACAATTGGTACTCATAATTGCATGAACAGTCATGAATTGAATAGGGGTATTTTTTAATGCTCTCTGCCAGCCGGCATGATGCTTTTTCTTGTCTTTTTATGGAGTTGCAGGTCAGTAGGTTTTTAAGATATTAGATATTCACGAGAATAAATAATCCGATTTGAGGTCATATTTGAATAAGATTTATTGATCAAAATATCAATTAGAAATGAGAAATTAGATGCAATATGGTTTGTATTGTTTAACGTAATTGGTAGCCCAAGATTTAAGCAGGCCGCCAAAATATATGGGAAAAATTTATTTTGACAAAGTCTCACAGTGTCATACAGTAATTTTTACTGATATGTCATATCACTCGATATGATTATGAGCAATAAATTGTGCTCGAAACGTCATCAGTATGTATGACTGTATAATGCTGTGAGACTTTCAAGTATCGGTTTTGTAGGGATTTCGTTTGATTGCATGGAGGATTTCATCATGAGCTGACATCAGTTAGAGAACCACTGGAAAACCTGGGAGTACTGGACAGCTGTTTTGTCCTAGTTTGGGACTCTTCAGCAGTACTCCCAGGTTTTCCACTGGTTGTCTAACTGATGTCAGCTCATGATGAAATCCTCCATGCTGTGAGACTTTATCAAAATAAATTTTACCCATAATGGAATTATACTCTACCACAGTTCACCAACTTTATACTTTTATTTGTGTCCATCAGGCTAGCTGCTTCTCAACTTCCTTGAGCAGCATTGAGACGAAGTCCATCGGGCGAAATCCATGTCGTTTTCTGTATATCCTTGTGGTTGTATGCACTGCTTCCGACCACCAAATCATCGAAAGCGCAGAAGTCTGCGAAGAGTTCTCCGTTCACATTCATTTTTCCGACAGCCTCCCGACCTATGATGAGTTCTCTTCCTGTGTTATCTGCTCCCAGTTTGGCTTGCATTCATATCACCCATGGGGACTTTGATGTCGTCTTTAAGAATCTTGTCCACAGAAATCTTCTTTCTTCTCTTAATCAGAGTTGTTTGTAGTTGCGTAGCATTAGATAATTGTGACCTTCCTTCTTTTCGGGTTGAATCTTGCTTTCGTAATCCTGGATGAAATTGGTTCCCACTGCATTAGGGCGTTGACTACCACTCGTGACATCTTTATAGCCACTCCGTCAGTGGGCTCGTCGTTGTCATGTGAGTTGGTGACCGGCGTAGATTAATGACTCACCAGCTGACAATTTTGATAGTTCAAATCCATCCTACCTTCTCTCGCAGATACCCATCACTTCTATATCAAATCTCATTTCTTTGGCTACCTGGGTAGCCCTCCCACCTAGCCTCGTACAATGTACGCACATTTCACTTCCGCATTTTTATTCTTGCTTTCATTGAGAGAGGACAAACGGCCAAACGGCAATTTGATCTTCAGTACGGAGCGGAGGCAACTGTTGATAAATGTCTGCAACCTTTTGGAAATGCTTTTCGTGACACGCAGTGCAAACGTATGTATGAATAAAGCATGTGCGCTGTGGTAGAATATAATTTCATTATAATAATAATAATAATAACAGCTTTATTCCAAACGGTATTTGTGGTACAGGTATGGAATTTTCAGCGTGCATTACAGTATATTGCATCTAATTAACTCATAGTTTATATAAGACTTTTAAAAATCAAAGATAAATAAATAAAATAAATAAGTCATAAATAAATAAAATAAATAAATAAAAAATTGGGAAAAAACAGCGTAGAGTATTTCATTTCAAACAATGCACCACAGGATATGAAATATAAACTTGATGTGTGATAGAAGATGAGAACAACAGTGTAATAGTAACGACGAAAAGAAAACAAAAACCAATGCGACTACTTGTTAGAGTGCCGCAGTAAGTTGATCGTGTCATACCTAACGGATTTCCCATCACATAACAGCTGTGCCAGATATGGTATTGTGGAGCTTTCGTACTTGGTAGTCCTAGCATATAGCCTCCTATAGCTGCTTCTAGTTCTACCAGATGAAATGCAAGGAGACAGCTGCGTATAGAGAGGATGCTCGGGATCTGACAATATTGTATTCGCACGTTCTTACGTGACATTATATGTCTATCCACAATAGTGTTAACCAGTTGGTTTAACGATATCCCACTTGACCTACTAACGGATTTTAGTGCCCTTTTCAGTAAAGCAAAGTCTTTCTTAAGTAGTCCAGGAAAGTCTAATGGGGAGCAGTAAAGGGGGATGGGTAGAATACAAGAATTGACAAATTGAGAAAGCAAAGACTTCTTTATACCAGATTGCCTAAATTTCCTAACGTAGAACGTTAAGCGAAACATCTTTCTAGTAACTAGCAAGATGTGGGAGGACCAGGAAACATCGGTGGAAAAACTCAGCCCAAGGTACTTGACATTAGATGTATTTTCAACCTCTGTGCCGTCAATGAGAGTGGGGCCATGTGAGCTACCTAGTTGCTGTAGGTCACGTTTACGTCTGAAAGTGAAATTGACTTTCTGACATGTAGACGGATTAAGACCGTTTGAAGAGGACCACTGACTAATTTCCGACAGAAAGTAATTTAATTTGAAACAATCTGACTGAGAGTTGACAGTCATAGAAACCGAGAGGTCATCGGCATACTTAACAAAAATCGCTACATCAGAATGAGGCAAGTCATGTAAGAAAAAGGAAAACAGAAAGGGAGAAAGAACAGCACCTTGAGGAACACCAGCTAAAGTAAGTGAGGTAGTGGAGGACTTTCCATTGTAGACGGTGTACTGCTTCCTTTCAGAAAAATAGGAATGCAACCACTTAGTTGTCCAGCTTTCAGCCTGTGTTGCAGGAAGCCTACTTAGCAAGAGAGAACTGGGAACAGAGTCAAATGAAGATGTGTAATCAAGGAAGGCACAGCGAACGTATTTAGCTCCTTTATCTAAACTGGAGACTATGCTATGGTGGAGGGCAACAGCGGCATCTAACGTACTCCTACTATGTTTATAAGCAAACTGGTTCGGGTCGTTGGAAGGTTTTAAAGAGGGATCAAGATTAAGTAAAATAAGTCTTTCCATAACTTTCAAGAAGTGTGAGGTAATTGAAATGGGTCTAAACTTAACATTTGGTCCACTTGTTGATTTAGGCACTGGAACGATTTTGATGTTTTTCCATGATTCAGGTATAATACTTTTGGAAAACGATTCGTTGAAAATGTCAGTTAGCGGGGAACACAAGATGTCGGCACACTTCTTAAGGGTAACAGCAGGAACACCATCAGGACCGAGGGACTGAGTAGGCTTGAGAGATTGAAGACACTTGAGGACATCATTCGCGTTAAAGCATGAGAATCAGTCATTGTTTACACTATTTGAGTTAGGAATCATAACATTTTCTGGGATACATATGAAGGATTCATTAAGCATGCCGACATCTAGAGAAATATCATTCATCATCTGCTTACCACCTGTGATTTCCTTTAATAACTTCCACATATTTGATGGGGATTTACATGAAAGAAACTTCTGGTTATAGAGAGCATTCAATCTTTGTAATTCAAGCTTAATCAAAGTGTTCATTCTCTTAACACCAGATTTGTTTTTCATTTTGAACAACCTTTGTTTTTCACGGCGGAGCGTTTTGAGTTGAGAAGAGGAGAAGCGACCGAATTTTAAGAAGATTGTCTCTTTTGGACAACAAACATCAAGACAGAAATAAAGATAATGTGTTATGTTGGCAATTGTGTTATCAAGAGCTTGTTCAGTAAATAGATCCCAGTTAGTGTCTTTTAACATGGACCTTAGATTCAGTATGTTGTCATGGGAATAACATCTGTGTTGTGTTTTGTTTCCAAGGTATGAGAAGACCCTTTTGTGCTGCTTTCCATATACTTTGGGCAATATTCTTATGATACAGTGATGTTAATTTAGTAGTGGGGCTCTTTTTCGAGCTTCAAATATTCCTGAATCGTTTGTAAACACAAGATCAAGAGTGTTGTCCATTCTAGTCGGGAAGTTGACAATATTATCGTGTCCAAGTGAAATTAGGAAGCTGTGATCACTAGAATTGAAATCACCGGTAACTATAGACAAGGAATTTCCGAAGGAGGTGGCAGCATGGGAAGTAAATTCATCCGCAAATAAAGATAATTCTGTGGAGTTGCATCCAGGAGCAGTATACATGTTCGAGATGTAAATGTAGTTGTATTTTGACAAATGTTTAAATCGACACTTAACGGCGAGACAGTCAATATTGTCACTAGAGAATTTGAAACATACATTATTAGACGTACACCATTGTGAATTGATGAAGATGGCGACACCGCCACCGCGTTTCTTCCTGGAACTACACCGATCTTGTCTGAATAGTTTGAAATTATTTAGATACACTAGATTGTCATCATATAGATCATGAAGCCATGTTTCTTGAAGTGATACGATCCCAGTATTATGATATATAATGGAAGACACCAGCGATTGAAGACAGTTAATTTTAGCCGGTTGAGAGCGACAATTGGTACTCATAATTGCATGAACAGTCATGAATTGAATAGGGGTATATTTTAATGCTCTCTGCCAGCCGGCATGATGCTTTTTCTTGTCTTTTTTATGGAGTTGCAGGTCAGTAGGTTTTTAAGATATTAGATATTCACGAGAATAAATAATCCGATTTGAGGTCATATTTGAATAAGATTTATTGATCAAAATATCAATTAGAAATGAGAAATTAGATGCAATATGGTTTGTATTGTTTAACGTAATTGGTAGCCCAAGATTTAAGCAGGCCGCCAAAATATATGGGAAAAATTTATTTTGACAAAGTCTCACAGTGTCATACAGTAATTTTTACTGATATGTCATATCACTCGATATGATTATGAGCAATAAATTGTGCTCGAAACGTCATCAGTATGTATGACTGTATAATGCTGTGAGACTTTCAAGTATCGGTTTTGTAGGGATTTCGTTTGATTGCATGGAGGATTTCATCATGAGCTGACATCAGTTAGAGAACCACTGGAAAACCTGGGAGTACTGGACAGCTGTTTTGTCCTAGTTTGGGGCTCTTCAGCAGTACTCCCAGGTTTTCCACTGGTTGTCTAACTGATGTCAGCTCATGATGAAATCCTCCATGCTGTGAGACTTTATCAAAATAAATTTTACCCATAATGGAATTATACTCTACCACAGTTCACCAACTTTATACTTTTATTTGTGTCCATCAGGCTAGCTGC